GAGTTGGCCGGTGGGAATAGGTATTTAGGTGGCCCTATAACATAGTTTTGCCAAACGCCCTTTTTCAAAATAATCGTCCAGCTGAATTAAGCTGTCCGCTAATCCTACATGTGAATGCACTTCGAATTCGATAGAAAATATTCAACACACTTCGCTATAAGTTCTGCAAAGGTAGTAGTCCGCATGTAGATGCGGATGCGAGAAAGTTTCTTTTATATGTCCTTTAGCAAGGACAATGTTGCCTGTAGCAATGGCTTACTCATCCACAGGTATACGCTAAAATATACGCGCCTTGTCAAATAGTTAGCCCAAATAACCGTTATTACTATCTCTCGGTTAAACACCAGGTTATATTTCTTTTTAGATACTTCTCCCCATAGATATGCTATTGTATTAGAAGCTCATAAGGACCTGGAGTGGACTCGAGCAATTCCCTCCACTAAGATGATCCCCAGTTTATCCTTCCTTAGACGTCAGCAGGGTAGGTGCATATTTTATTTCCATTTCCCTGAAAAAAAAACGTTGCTTTACCTGCAAAATGTAGCTGAACATGTTGCTTTCCCATAGGTTAACTAGTGAACAGAAAGTACTTTTCAAAACGGAACAGTGGTTTTGTTCATGCCTTTCCTTAAAACCAGATCTATCTCTGAACTGTAAACTGTTGAGCCATGTTAACGTATACAAAATTATTTCCCTCTAAGTAAAGCAATATGTCGTCCCCTACTCTTATTTGAAAAACACTAATCTGTAAGGTTTTTAACTGATGTGACATATTTTTAGATTTCGCAGTCGAAGCCCAAAACACCAAGAAGGATTTTACGGCTTTCATTAGAGCAGCATTACTGTTTATAGGCCGATATTTGTTAGCAGAAGTAGTTATCATTGATAAGTTTTGAAAACAATACAAATATTATAAAGAACTACGCGCGCATGTAAATATTAAGGCAGCGTATAATAGGTCCTTCATACACTCGGTGCTAAAGGCCGCTCTTCCCGTTACAAATGAAGGTATGTGCGCTCTGAACGACCGCGGATGCTAACAGCAAAACACTATCCGTGGTCCTTCAGAACCATGTCGAAAATGTCCATCAGTTATGCTTAAAGCGAAATCAGGAATAGTGGACAATTTGTTCTTGTTCAGTCTTGAGTTAGTGCCAAACATGTGGCTCATTTGTCTGGTAAAGAATAAAAATAACATCAAGTGTACGTGCGATCATTTGAGTTATTAGAATTATGAACGATCTTTGGTTATGGCTTGTTGTAAATGTAG